AGTCCCCTCCTACACACCAAGGCATCTCCCATCGTCTACGGACCTCACCCAACTCCTCCCAAAACAAATGTCGTACACTGTCTTCTGTAGGGCCATAAACACCAGAGAAGACCCAACAAAAACTATCCTTCAACAAAGAGAGAACATAGGAAACAGAGAAGAGCCCCACCTGAGAGTCTCCCAAAGAAACCCAACAGTTATCCCACATGATAAGAACGCCACCTGCAGAACCAATCGCATCCAAAGCAATCCACTCCACAAATCCCCCCCCCCCCCCCCCAAGCGGCCCCAAAAAGCTTCTCAGGATCAAGTCCTCCGTCATCAATGCAATCTTAGTTTCTTGTAAACACACAACATGCCCACCCTCTTTCCGAATCATCGACTTCACAACTTTTCTTCTATTCGGGTCATTGAGACCTCGGACGTTCCATGAAAAAAGGCGTAGCTTCATAAGGAAACAAATGAAAAATCACTCCCACTCCTCCTTCCACCTCTCCCTGGACACCTGTTCCTCCTTTCATAAGTGATGACATCAATGGGACTCCTCTCCTCCCTCTCCCCCACCTCAACCTGCAACCCATCCCTTCTACCCCCCCACTCCAAAATCTGAGCATCAATAACCTCATTAAACAATCTCATCGCCTCATCCAACCTACCTTGAAATGACACACCCAAAAGAGAACCCACCTCTCCACCCTTCTCTCTCAACCACTCCTCTTCCAAACTCCCCTTACCCCCACCAACAGCTGAAACTTCCATGCAGTCCCCCTCCAGCCCCATCATAGCCCAAGGGACAACACAGTCAAAATCATCACCACCCCCTTCCCACTGAACCAAGCCCAAATCCTCTTCAAAGAAGGAACCTGAGCCTCCCTCCCAAGCATCAGAAAAGGAATGGGAACCGCAAGTCAAAGGCGTCCTAGCCTCCTCATCAAACAAAGAACTTCCTGAGATGCTCTGCAAGTCTTTCAATGTTAAATGGCCCCGCAATTCCTTCAAAAAAACGTTGGCTGTTACATCATCCAGCTTAATTTTCACATCTATTCCCACGCAAACAGTAACTCCCTCGCTACTAAAATCACACAGCCGAGAGGAGCCAAGCCCAAGATCACAACCTTCACCATGACAATCAACCGCCGGCTCTCCCTCAAGAACTGGGGACAAACATTGAGAACTCGACTCCCCCACGGCTTTATTCAACCCTAAACACCTTCGTGACTAAGAGGAAGAGGGAGAAAAAGGTTGAAAAGACGGTAGTCCATGTGTAATACTTGACTTACCTGGAACAGAGTCAACCGGTGTTCTCGAAACCCACTTTTGTTTCTCTTTCCTTGACCATCTTCTACCAAAAGAAGGAAGAGACACCTTCTTCATACGGTGACCCTGAACAAATCCCTTAGCTCATCTTCCTCCTCTAGACCCGTCAGAAAAAATGCCAGCCGGAAGAGCATCATTGTTAATCACGACTTTAGATAAGGGCTCAAAACGATTGCCCAAAAATGGCCCGGGAACGTCCTTTAATGACCCCGGCCTGCCCTTCAAATCGCGACCCAGACCAACAGGCCCAACTGCATCAAAATCATGCTTCAGGGCTTTCCCACCTTCAGCAGGTCCACTAGAAGTACAGGTCAAGACCGAAGGCTGGGCCGGCCCACATTGGGAATGAACACTAACTCCCAAAGACTTGGTCAATGGCCCATCCTTAGGCCCATCTCCACAAGCTTGCATCCTCGCCTTTGGAGCCCAATCATTTGAAACAAAATGGGAACCAGCTGTATTCCACTTAAAACGGCCACTCCCTGTGCGCCATCCACGTTTATGGTCAGCAAGACTCCTCTTTCCACGCGCTTGCATCGCGTGAAAATCACCTCTCTGTCTTCCTCGATCCCACATCTGCAAGAACGCCGGACGGTCAATCTTGGTGGAAGATCCACCCCTTTGAGTTTCCCGGAAGCCCATCTGTCGGCAACGATTAGACACACCCGCTAAACCTTCATTCCTTTTTTGAGTGAAAATCCGTCAAAAGCAGTTAGAGTTGCGAATCCAGAGGGCGTCCCTCCACTCCTTCCATCATTGAATCTCTGTCAGTCCCTTCTTTCCCATAGCATCCCACCTCAACCATTCGGCCTCCTTGAGCAAGTGCGAACCATCCCCTCCTTCAAGGCTATTCGTTGTCGGCACAAGTTCCGGCGGCTTCTTGTCCCACACTGCAACCTTATAACAAAACCGATCATTGTGGATGAAGACAAAAGAGGGACAAACCCTTCCATCCGAAACTGTGATACGAACCCGTTTAGCATCCACGGCTTCGTCGGCATCCACCCAAATAAAACCACCACATAAATCCCCAACCGTCACGAACAAGGCATGACTCCAGAGATGAAGAGGGAGCCCATAAAGTGTCACAATCTTCAGCCCCTTGCCTTTCAACACCCCAGAACACCCAACTCCGAAACTCCAATTATCCACCCGTAAGGTAGCCGACCCCCAATCACGGCGCCCCTCTTTGAGTACCCTTGAAGCTTCCGCTGAGGATGGAAAGTGAAACAACAGCAAGGAATCCAACAGAGGAGACACCACAACTCCAGATGAGATCTTCCAAACACGAGTCGCCCAAGCAACGATTTGAGCCCTATCTCCCACTTTCTTATCAAACTTACCCACCAAACACGAACGAAGATCTTCTCGTCTCCTTCCAACCGAATCATCATCCAAGAAAATCGAAGGCCCTCTATACGTGTTAGCCTATCTCGCAGCCCCACCTTGAAACAAACTAGGCAACCTAGCAACTTCCAAGAATGTGTGCATAACAAAAGATGGTGAACACAAAAAGCACAAAACCTCACACCCAACTGAGAAAGAGAAAACGCGAAAACGAAAAGTGACGGTGGATTTCACCGGAGTTAATGACTCCGGTGACTGATCGGAGTAGTAGGCTCCGGCCGCATCTCAGTCACAGCAAACTTTCTCAGTCTAGGGTCATATTGAACTTTGGAAAATTTTATTCCCAAAATTGTCAAGCAGAAGTTAAGGTCCATATAAAACGATTATATGGACCTTAAACCTACGAGTCTTTAAGGTCATGAACAATACCAGAACGATTATTCAATAACCCGCATCTTCCAAATTTACAATACTAGGTTTCATGGGAAGCAAAAACAAAATCACATCATCCTCTCCGTCATGAGGACAACTACATCTGCTGCGCACCATGGTTGTGTAGCCAATCATCACTGCTGGTTTTTAAAGGACTAGCAAATACAAGATGTTGTATAGTTAGACAGAGAGCTTATTATACCAAACTGTTTTATGAAAAAATACAAGATCAAGAGCATTCTACGTCAAAATTCTTTGACAGATCCTTCATCTGCTTGGCAAGTTCTTGCTTCTTCTTTGCAGTGGCAGGCAACAAACAATTACCAATAACATCGTCAGCCTCAATGCAAAGGAGTCTAGCGTACAACAAACTATTTGTTGAATTGAAAAAAAAATATGGAAAGGAAAAAAAAAATATATATATATATCTATATATATATATATATATATATACCCATGTTAGAAAGATCCTCCATTCCCTTTGATGATCTCACATCGAATCTCTGGAATGTAGGGCTGAAAATCGCAGATACATGATATGACCTTATGGCTAAATCAATTGCTCAAGAGCTCAATCAGAAGAATGAATCAACACAATGAATGATTTTTAATCCCATAACCAAAAAAGGAACAAAAAAGTTCCTTTTCAAAGAACACCTCCATTCCTGTCAAAATCAGACTTGAACTTACAACTCTTCCGAGTAGATACCATTCAAACTAATAAACGAACAATTTTTGGGTTGTTTTTAAACAAATAATTTTGTCTTTAAATAAGTAAAATGTGACAGTTAAGTAGTCACAAGACATGCTATCGGAGACAGCTGAGCTACAAAATACAAGAAAAAGAGGCTGATGTGAAACGAATTACAAAAACATGTTTCTCCCAAACGTCCCATTGCAGCATAATGGCTGCAGTGGATATCGAGGGAGCATACTTCACTTTGGACAATACCATAGCTTGAACTAATCAATTAGGGTGTACTGAATAGATCAAGACTATGACGCATCGCTATATTCTAACAAAATTTTAATTCAAACAGAGAGGAAAAGTAAGACAAAAACAAAAAACCAAAAACCAAGAGAATAACACGAGACTAGAACCAAGCAAGGTGGAAGTACTAAACAAATCCACACCCTGAATCCAAAACTCCACCTAGGTCATTTGTCAAAGATTAAAATTAAGCCTTAGCCCCTTAGATGTTAATTAATGCGATCATATCCGTAATCGGTACAGGCCTCTGGAGTCATCATGGGCAATATATACACAATATACACACACATATATTTTGACTTTTCAAATTGAACATTTATTTTGGAACCAAAAAATAAAATTAAAAAGGTAGACGTTTATTTTGGGACAGAGAGAGTATATTGTTAAGAGTTTGAGTTAAGTATTATTTTATTGCATTGACATGTATATGTTTCCAAATCTACCTTTTTGTTTGGTTTTTATTTTTTTCATACAATAAGGGTAAATTGGGAAGTTAGAAAATATAGTGCATTGATATTTCAAATAGGATAACTATTGCGGGATAACTGAAAATGAAAAGATGGACTATTAATATGGAGCGAAGGGCTTCTATCCCATATTAATGTTCTTTTTTTTAAAGAAATAAGTAATTAATTAAGTGAACAAATATTGTGAGACAACCCAAAATAAAAAGATGAACAATATATAATATGAATGCACCCCCATCCCTAACATTCCTGAAATTGTCGATATATCTAGATTCATTTACGGCCCCTGAACTTGGTGATTGACCTGGACCCCTTTTCATTTAATTTGGGCTCACATATCTAGATCACAACATGGATTAGGCTGATCCTCGAGCCCATTTTTTAGCTGCCCAGTGCAGAGAGAGTCTTATATAGGGTTTCAAAAATCACGAGACTTCATGGTTTAGCGCAGACTCAACGACGTAGAGACACACACAGCTCAGCTATGGCGATTGCAATCTCAAGAAACTCAAACCTTCGCTACATTTATCGCGCTCTCTCTCCTTTTTCTACTTTGAACCAATTGAAATCGACGATCACATCATCTCGACTTATTCATGGAGTTATAGAGACTCTACACCACCAACCTCTTCCATTTTCTCAGCCGGTTAGTCCTCTCTCTCTATACACACACACACATATCTGTGTGTTTGTCTTTGAATTTTATCTATGTAGTTAAATGTTTTGTGTTCTTTATCATTTCCAGGATATTCGTCTAGGTCATGAATTGCGATATATGGCGATATATCATAGGTATCTATGCAGTAGTACTGCGACTAGTACTACTGTTAATCAATCGAATACAGCATCAGATGGGAATTCCGATGCTGGTTCTGGGAAAGGCAAAAAGTCTGAGCAATCGAAGCAGACTGGCGAGCAAGGCAAACCTGTTCGAGGAGGGGTAATTTCTACAGGCATATATATATAATGCACTTTATACTTATATTTATAATGATTTAATTGCATGAATTTTTTTTATTTTTTATTTTTTAAAATCTTCCCTAATTAGTTTTATTTTCATAATAAGGTTACTCAAACCGACAAAATAGGGCCACTAAACAACAAGAAAATTAAGTAGGAAGTAGATACACATTCATTATGTTGGTCTCACTCTCACATGAATAATCACATCAATGTATTAAGCTTAAATGTGAAATTTCCCTTTGCAGCCAGTTTCATGGTTGAGCTTTCTTTTGCTGGTTGCCACTGGAGCAGGACTGATTTTCTATTATGACAGAGAAAAGAAACGACATATTGAAGGTAGATAACTATGGTCAGTAGGATACTTTTAAGTTTAACTGCGGAATTGTTATCATGCGATGGACCTTTTGAATTTATCCTCTTGATTTTTCTTCTGTAGTCAATATCCAATATGGGGACTTGGATATATTCTACTTTTGAATCCTGTAATGTATTAAGGAATCAAATTGGTTGTTGGTTTATAAAGAAGGTATGTCTGGCTTCATATATCTATGTATGTAGCAATGACCAAGTAGATGAGTGCTGGCAGGGTTAAAAGGATAAAATAGTTGTCATCCTTTTTTTGCATTCGTGGCACTCGTAGATTAACATGATTCCTTAATTTTGTGATTAGAAATGTTTCATTGCCTTTGTTTGGCTTCTGTATTTTACCCAGCCTATGATTCAACCTTGTTATATCTTATTTCTTAAATATAAGAAATAAGATATCATGTTAATTTGACACAATAAATGTTTTCTGTAACTTGTTATATCTTTGGAGGTATCAAACACTCTAAGCAATGATGTTTTCTTATCCAATCCGATATTTAATCTCTTTACATATATAACAACATGAAATCTAATCATACTACAACTTTCACATGTCGTGCATATATTTCACTTGCAATGCTACTAGCATCTACAATTTCATATTTTAAGGATTATGCAAGCAGCATATCTCTAAGAGGGAAGGGAATGGTGTTTACTATGAGAAGTACCGGTTATAAAACCCAGCAAGCAATGTATTCTTCATGTGTCCATATTTATTGTGTGAAAGCATTAAACGCTAATTTAATTTTCATGATAGTATACTTCTCAAAGGCAATGGTCGTGTCATGGAATGCACTGCCATTAGCACTGTTCAATAAAATTCTTGTAAAAAAACAAGGGTGAAAATTCTGAAGGGACGATGACCTTATTATGAAAACATTACTAGCCGCCTAGCCCAAGTGATATCCCTTCCTTCACACATGGATGCCTTGTTAAAAAAATATAAGTAAAAAACCAACAAAGAAATATATGTTTCCCGTCCAAAAAAATATAAGTAAAAAACCAACAAAGAAATATATGTTTCCCATCCATACTAACTGAGTGAAGACACCTAACACACTAACTTAATCTTTATTATAGTATATACTTCTTAAATGCAACAAGTGTGCCATGCTGCGTATGTGAAAAACTGAAACTGAGGCCAGGCATGCAACACTCCAAATCCTTCACTAGCCTTTTTGTATAACATGTTGAGATATTGTTGGGATCTGGTTAAATTTTATAGCTACTGTTAGTACATGGAAGAGGAAACCGGATCACACAGTTCTAATCTGATTATTGATGCATACAGTTGCATTCTCGTATCCTGATTTTTCTTTCATTTTCAATGAAGATGCTACTTGTCAGATAGAGGAAAAGAATAAAAGTGGTTAACTTCTCATTCTCATTAGGTTATTGTTGCCTTCGATTGCATTCTCCAGGCCCTTTTATCTCTTCCTTTTAATTACTGATCCATAGCCTGTTAAATGAAGCGCCAATTGTTTCCTCTCTCCATCATCCATTATATTTATATTTCTTTGAAAAGATTTATTGCATTTTGATTAATTTTCTTTTACTAATTGAAAATTTTGCTACTGCAGAAATAAGTGGTGCTTCAAATGCAGTAAAACAAGGACCTTCTGTAGGGAAAGCAGCTATTGGGGGTCCATTCAACCTTGTAAACCATGATGGAAAATCTGTAACTGAAAGAGACTTTTTGGGGAAATGGACGTTGATATATTTTGGCTTCACTCACTGCCCTGATATCTGCCCAGATGAGCTACAAAAGCTTGCTGCTGCAATTGATAAAATAAGTAAGTTTTTTTATTGTTTCAATTGATGAGCCTTTAGTTGATATGAGATTACAAAAAATGGTCATGCTGAGGTAATCTGGTAGAGCACAATATGTCTGTGGTACTTGTAGTGACTTGTAATTAATTACAATGACATGTTGACATTCTTTCTTGCTCCAATCCCATTTAGTACAGAGATGAAATGCATTCAATTGTAAAATATATTGGCACACCCAGAAGAGTGCTGTTCTTTTAGCCATGTAGTTCATGCACCAATCCCATTAGTACAGAAATAAATAGCATTCAATTGTAAAATACAATGGCACATGCAGAAGATTGGGTCAAAATACGTATGGACTAGAAACTACCCTAGTAATTAGCTGTTTTTTTTTTGGGGTCCTGTATTAGGGCTTATGTGCCTAGTGCCAAACCTTGCAAAAACAACATATTTTATGTCATGGCCGGTGACTCATTGCAATATATGCAGTACTGCTTGCTAATGACGTTGTGGTACAAATGATTTGATTGCTTCTCATCTAAAAATGAGGTGTTTGGATTTGCACCAATGGGAACCATAAATATCATACACAATAGCGGAATATGATAGATTTTTTATTTGTAGGTAGGGAATGGTACTCATCATTGTTACTGGAAAAAAGGCATCCCCGAAGAGTGGGGGATTTTGTGACATTTCTGATTCAGATTCATACTAAAACCACGATGATTCAATAAAAACCCTAAGCTAAGCCCAAGGATTCACAGAATGTGATACGATGAGATAGAATGCAAAAGAATCAAGCACAGGGAATGGGTTACCTAATCTTAACGGTCAAAGCGCAGTTCTATACATCTGTCCTTTCTCAATGCATTTCTTTGGACAGACTCTTTTCTCTTATGTCCGGATGGTAAATATTTCTCAGAACATGGAGTGAGTTCTTTTGTGAGTTTAAAATACAATTTGATGTAAAGGGCTTCGTGAAAAATTAAAATATTTATGGTTGCATTTAAAATATTAACATATCTTTCCATGGTACCTATCGAATGATTTACTAAGCAACAGTTGATCATTTTGGTAGAAAGTGTTGGCGGTTTTCCATTGATATGGTGTTAGAATATAGGCCAGACCAGTAGTTACAAGCTGTGCGAGATGCATGCTAGATGACAGTAGTAATCCAAAATTTACCCAAATATTTTCAATTGCCTGGCAACTGATTGATTCCCCTTTGTTTGACCTATTATTTCATTTAAAAGCATAATGATATTTTAATAGTTACCAGATTATAACTTTCTTGTTTTTCGTGCATGCAGAAGAAAAATCTGGTTTTGAAATAGTACCTGTATTCATCTCAGTTGATCCTGAAAGAGATACGGTTGAGCAAGTTAGTGAATACGTCAAAGGTGCCTTTTAATATCAGCAAACAGCACTCAAATGCATTTATATAGAATTAGTTGCAAATGAAATTTTGTTTAAAGAGTATTTTAAATTGTTTTATTTTATGCTTTAATGTCCCAGAATTTCACCCGAAATTAATTGGGCTAACTGGTAACAAGGATGAGGTACAGAAAACTGCTCGTGCATATCGAGTTTACTATATGAAGACAGAAGAGGAGGGCTCAGACTACCTTGTTGATCACTCGATAATCATGTATGTGTTACTACTCTCGTGTATATATTAGCTGAATGGTGTGTTATCTGTGCTATCATCTTCATCTTTGAGGTGGGTCATATTCATGTTTGTTGGGTGCCGCTTGATAACCTATCGGCACCTTGTTAAATGTCCTTATTGGGTGTTACAGACCATGAGTCTCTCTCTTTCCCTCTGCTCACCAATTATTATAGTGTGGTATATGTTTTTTGTCCATCAATACAGTTTTGACTGATTTTTCAAATCTGAAATCCGTGGGGTGTTTTATGACCCAAGTCAAACAGAAATTTGTCAGGCTTGTGGATAAAACTAAAATGTAAGCTAGCTGCCTTTGATGAGTGATCCAATAGAAGAAAATAGAAATTGTTCATAGTAAGGACAAATTTGACTAAACTACTGCATATTTTAATTTTTAAACATGCTAATTTCAAAAGGAAACATTGAGATGCTGCTGGGTTTCTTGCCTTCTTGGTACTCTGAAAGAAACGAAAAGGAATCAGAGACTAAACTTAAATGGCACCCCGCGAACGCCATCAATGAAATGTTTTCCTGAGGCCATAATTACACAGAAAAAATATGCTAACATATCTTTTTTTGTTTTTTAACCGTCTCAAGCCACGGAAATTTTAGTCTTTTGCTTTCCCAAATATTACTCTCAATGTGGACCATGTCAAATACTAACCTTAGTGCTTCTGCACCTTTTGGGCATACTCATTGTTTTCTTAAAATGGTGGGTGTCATTGAAATTTTCGGGAGTTCATTGTTACTTTCTTCATATTTCAGTGCTTGTTATGTTCTATCCATGTTTTCTTATGTTGTGCCTCAAAGTGAGTTCTGATAGTTGCTTGTCAAATCCCTGCACTGTCAATCATAGAAAAAGAAGTATGGCTGCTCGACTTGCATGACCTCAATGAAAATCTTTCTATTATCAAAAAAGAAAAATAAAAAGGAAACTTGTCGGAATCATAAAACAAAGAAATTGTTAATTTTTTACCGAAAGAAATAAAGTTGTTAATTATCCTTTCTATATTAATGTTTATCTTATGCAGGTACTTGATGGATCCTAACATGGAATTCGTAAAGTTTTTCGGGAAGAACAATGATGTTGATACTCTTTCTGATGGCATAATTAAAGAAATAAAGCAGTATAAAAAAGTGAAGGCATGATTTTTAAGTTCTGCATTACCGTAACGTTTTTGGCATATAATGGTTTCAAGTTTCCCAGTGGCTTCTTTTATTCTCCGACAATTACTTGATGAGATATGCAGGTTAGATAAAATAGTTCGATAAGGGTTGCTCTTTATTTGGAGAGGAATATAAGCATCAAATGTTCTAAATTATAATCAAATTGAGAGTCTATTTGTATTATCTGTTGCTTTACGATATGAGAATTTACACATTTTATTAAAGCATGGTAATGGAGTTGATGAATGTGGACAAAATGAGATACTGATTCGGTGTAGTTCTCAGAAATTGATATTGATGCTCATGTTCTTTACATGATTCATTTTTATACCATTTTCCGGGATGTTGGAAGGCAGTGCCACACATGTACGTCACTTTTGTAGCAATAGTACATGGAGGGAGTGTATAAGAAAATGTTACTGAAGCAGACGAAGAACTGACAAGAAAAATTGATTCAAGTTTTCTAGTGAAGAAATTTTCAACTCTATAAGCGTTGAATTTTTGGAAATACCAAGGGAAAGGGAATTACAGAGCTAATGAGGGGGGATCAAGCAACCTGTCATAAAAGTCACTTGTCCATTTATCTTCTCTAGTCTGGCCAACTTCAGTTCACCTTTTAATCCATGAAAGCAGCTGTCTACCCTTATCATCACACTTTGGCAACTTGAAGCTGGAATCCATTTTCCCATTTTACTCGACATAATGATGATACCTTGTAAGCACGGAATGCCGTCTAGAAATTGGAAATTGGAAATTGGCGCATGACCTTGAACAGTCACTATCCACTTTGGTTCTACACAATATTGAAATGTTCCGATTCTTTTTACTAGATATCTAAAATTACCCCAATGCTAAATGCAGTACACAGTTCTGTCCTAGGGAGTGTCATAATCTTTATTCCAATATAAATAACAACATAAATAGTCTTATATATATATATATATATATATATATATATATATATGTGGCCTAAGAGTACAAGGCTCCTCCTTCCGAAAGGGAGGTCAGGGGTTCGAACCTCAGTGGAGGCAATGTGTGTAAATCCCAACCAAGAAAATATATACACATATAAGCACAAGTTGAGACTTGAAGCAAAAAAGCAAATTTTTTTCCTCCCGCCAAGGGTAAAGCGTCGTCTAAAATATTACAAAACCAACTGCAACAGCAGAAAATTTTATGAGTACTGAAATATAGCTATATCTAAACTCGATTCACTACAAACATTCAAGTTATTTAGAGTTATATGTTTGGATACCAGATCTCGCTGCTAGAGGCTGTAATCTAAACTGAAGCTCTTACTAAGATGCTGGGGGATACAAATCTTACAATTTCATGTACATCAGAAACTTGTCTCCTCAGAACCTCATTTGACCGCTTTTAGTTCTATCTTGTGCTCAGCCAATTCTCAGCTGGAACACTAGGATGTTGTATGATTTCTCACCGTGGATAAGCAAGTGGAAATACAGGCGCCATTCACTCCCCGCAACTGATGAAAAATCGAACATTGTCCAGATGAATCCATCTTCGCAGAAATTCTTTAGTAACTGAATAAATGAGCCATAAGAACTCTGATAGCTACCTCCAGAAACAAATGAATGTTTAAGACCACAAAATACATAATAATCCACGCACGTAACTAATCCACAAATTTAGCAAACTTGGCTTTTCCCAGATAAACCTGTTGCATCTCCTCTCTCCAGATCTGCAACAATAACATTACGTTGGTAATTACTTACTGCCTTTGACTCGAGTCATTCAAATAGAAAATGAAATTTTGGAAGAGAAGTATATCAATGTTGTTGGCCAGCTCATGTCTTGAATAGCTTTTGATTTGAGTACGTACTTAAGATAGAAATATTTGTGAGAGATTAGATGAATGAGCTATGAAAAGAAGCAGAACACTAGGTAATCTTTTTATCATCTAGCTTTCATTTCTTTCTGCACCTATAGGGACTGTCATTAAGGACTTCTTATGTGGTAGCAAGCGTTCCCAAAAATCATTTGTCGATCTAGGTTTCCCTAATGTCCTCTAAAATACAAAATAAAAACAAGTACACCAAGAAGTGAAAAATCATATAGCAAATGATAATGAAAGATTCCAGAATCAAGCACATACCATCTCCCGGAATTCCAGCCGGATATGAGGCACATTTGTTTTGTGAATATCATTTCCATCTGGTCCTCTTCTGTAGTACTCCTTCCCAATCCAGTGCGACTAAGAATGGAAAATATTAATAGCTCAGTGACAATTGAAAGCATTAAGATAATTATAACCTTTAATACAAAAATTCATTGAAAGACCTGAATTTCTCAACCTAAGACACCTTAAAAAGACATTGTGCCAATTCTGGACGAGAGAACATGAATGCCTCACGTTCAATACTCTTTGCATAATAATTAAAAGAAAAATGCATTGCTGCTCAAGTCATATTGCTTCCCAAGAATGCACAGTGCACAACAGGTTAGTTACAAATTTTGTAAGCATTATTAAAAATATAAAAAATTTAAAAAGGAAAAAAAGAAAGAAAAAAGAACATATTACATTCATATATGCATGTATGTACATGTATATGTGCGTGTGTGTGTATATATACACATATATAACATGCTGGATTGGGTTTTTGAGAACATGCATGCTCAGTGTTGCTTCTATTAACCACCAACACAGTCAATACAGAAAGCTCCAAATGAACATTTTAGAATGTGAAACATTAGTGTAGATTGTAATTAATGATGCTCAAAGCCAGTTTGTTCTGGCACATAACATATCCATCACATTCCTTTCTAGCATTGCCATGATATATAGATTAGGATATTTTGACAGTACAATCCATTCTATCATTTGATTAACAGGCCATGGCCATGGTCCCTAGAAGGGGGATGCACCAGATCACTGTAATTTCCTATGATTTCAGCAAATTTAGTTATTTTCAGATAAGGATATGTACCTTCAGTGCATGTGAGAAACCTGACTGGTAGACTGAATTACGGGCAATCTCACACAAGTCACACGAACTTAATTTCCAAACCTGTAAGAGAAAGGAGTTAATCTATTTGAACCATAATAGCATAATGTTTATTTAGTGCGAAACACACACAGAGACAGAGAGAGAGAGAGAGAGAGAGAGAGAGAGCTTACAGAAGCAGCTATACTGTATTCTTCCACTAGAGGTTCTTTCGTTAAGTGGATTTGCAATGGATCGTCAGTAGATAGGGAAACATTGAGGCCACGTAGGAAAAACATAGGGAAAGGGTTACGATGATAGTCCAAAAATAAGGAGTTGTTGCTCAGAGGAGACATAGCCAGACCAATCTGATAACCAACAAGCCATCTAAGAAAATTAAAATTGCCACATAAGGAAGTAAATATCCATCAACTGAGTTTCCTTTTTACCTGGGCCAGGTAGTACAAATATTGAAGAACGGGAGATTTTCTCAAATTAATTCCATGTGCAATATTATGAGACGTAAGGAATGTTGCAGCAAGATGGTCAATGTCACCAGCCTGAAAGTAATAATAAACATCACCAATTCATAAAAAATCTAAGATAATCATAAAAAACAGATGATTGACTACCTCTCCAGAATGTGGTCGGAACTTGATAGTTGTCATGCCTTTTGACTCGCGGAGCTGAGACACAATATTTAACAGTTAAGAATTCAATGCACAAGCAACTAGAAACAAATGAATTCATTACGGGCACAGAAGGTGAAAAGTGCAACATTGTGGACATCCCTCCTTTTTTCTCTAAAAGAATGCAAGACAAAGAAGTTCATAAAAAAATGCTTCTTCCTTGAGCGTCTTAAGCAAATCATTTCTTTCATTTCATTCCTTTCAGGAACAGTGGAGAGGAACATCCATTTGTGTCATGTTATGGCACAATCTAGCAGGTTCTGTTAAAAGAAGCAAATATATTGGTGGGTATGAAATATCTGAATCAGGCTAAAAAGAAAGGTCTACATGAGTAAGCTACAGTTCTTGCTCCTATTACTGCTCCTACATCCGACATCGTATGAAGAAAAAAGTGTAACTTTATTAGATTACCAGTGATGAATGTACTAAGTTCTATAAATGAGATAATGTGGATCCCTGTAAATACAGGTCTACATTAGTGATGAATATATGGAAGTTCTATACTGAATCACTGATGATGACAAGGCAGGACAATCTCTCTGATTCTTTTTTTGTTTCCTTTCTTGTTTCATTTTTTTTTTTTCACACAGACACAGAGAGACCACAATTATACTCCTACTTTCTAGCATTTGGTAAATAGGCAAACAAGACTGTTTGTTCATTAAGGTACGGTAAATACCTTGTTTAGGGTGTAAAGGTTAGCATAACAGTAATACACATAGTACGAGAATGCGGGATTAAATATATTCGTCCACTGAGCTGGTGTGGGCATATGCTTCGTGGGGCGCCTTTCAGGTTTGCTTTCATCGTCCACCAAATCCAAACCAACCACCTGAAATTTTAAAAAGATGACAAGGTCAAATGTAATTGTCAGTAGTCCAGATCTTTGGATATAAGAAACCAAAACATAAGCAACCACAGCTTGGACTGAACGTAACAGCATCTTTTACACAAATCCTTCAAAAATAATAGCAATTGCAATTTGATCAAATATTGCATGGACTTGGGTATGCAGGGCGAGTATGCATTAGTCTCGGCTTCTAATTCGTCCAACCCTTGTATCTTAGAACATGGCAATCGGACTAAACCTTCATCTATTTATATTTTATTTTGCCATTCCTTAAGAGTGTTTACACAACATGATATAGATAATAAGCATTAAATCAACTAGAGGGCATAATTTTATGCCATCGTCAACACATTAAAGTATGAGTTCCATTTCTCCACCCATCAAAAAACAAAGGAATAGTCAAAAGAGATAGTATACTTTCTTGACAACCAATTATATAGTGCCCCCAAAATGATGTTTTCAACTCCCAACAGATTCTTTCACCCCCTCGAACAAATGTCTTTCGTGCTCTAAATGCTTCACATAAGGCAAAGAAGCACTGCTATCATCCTCTGAGAAGCAGACAATCCTCAAGGACCGTAGTAATGTAACTGGGGATCTAAATGTTATTCATCGTGAGCTAATAAATCAGGCAGTTCTCAATATGTAATGGATTATTCTTTTATGCTATTAGTATTATAAATAGGAAAATATAACAACACAAAAATAATAAAGATCATAGAGAAAAAGCATAGAAAAAAAGAAAGATATTATACAATAAGATCCTTAGTAACTGAGAAGGAAAAGAAATTAAAAATTTGACCATAATTCCACAATATGTATTTTTTAATGGGCTAAAAGGTAAAAGTAGACAGTAAACAATTATTGTTCAGTTCAAAAGTTAGTCACCACTCTGCATTCAGAACACTTTTTGACATCCACAAACAAAGACCAACTGTAAAAACTAGTACAACAGAAAGTATAACACAAGCGAGAGAGCTGGCAAACCTGTTTCAAGAAAACATGCAACTGAGGATGTGAATCGGGATCAACAGTAACCTCGAACAGCGGAAGAAAGATATTGTCAAGCATGTTCTGAAAGGATGTAACAATTCCTATTTCCTTGTACACATTGTACAATCGTGGAAGCTGGAAAAATAAGAGATTCCAGAATGAGTAATAAAATATTCAAACAGTATTAAATATTTTTCAATTTGTTAAAGAAGTTTCAGAATCCAAAAGTTCTAAATGCTACAGTAATGTCACGCCTTCTCAAAATTCGGGGCTTAAAGAACAAGAGCTCATGTTTGAAATAACAACAAATGACCCTTTTATGACTAAACCAACCAAATTGAAGTACAGACACTACCATTTCGTCAAACGAAAATTAGAGGCTGTCCTTTTAAATTTTTGTCTTTGTAGGATCCAACTAGAATCCATATCTGGTTGTTTCTCTCATTAGTTTTTATCTTTCATCCGATATTGTTAGGTAAAGTATTCATATTTTCATCAGCTCATTTTTCTTTATGCAGATCATTTGAAACAGAAGTTTTTTGACCCCTTTGGCTTTAGGATGAAGCATCCAGAAGGTCGAAGCCATAAAACCTTGTGGTATAAGTTAAAAAAAGTTAATGTACCATTTAGAAATAACCTAAGTGACATAAACACTAAAGCAGAAGAAAGGGAAAAAAAAGAAAAGAAAAAAAAAGAAGATAATGTTTACTATTTTTTTCTGCCTTTACGTTGGGATGGTTCTTGTTTGTATCTCCTTATTCTATATTCTAATTCCCATTTTGTAGCCGCTGCGCAGCTTCTTATTTACGTAGGAGCTATAAATATTTTAATCATATTTGCTGTGATGTTCATGAATGGTTCAGAATATTACAAAGATTTTCATCTTTGGACCGTTGGGGATGGGGTTACTTCGATGGTTTGTACAAGTATTTTTGTTTCACTAATTACTACTATTCTAGATACGTTGTGGTACGGGATTATTTGGACTAAAAGATCAAACCAGATTGCAAGAAATAAAATGAAAATCAACACATAAAGTATTCATAATACGTTTATGCATGCACAAACAGAAATACATGGATAGGGTGTTCATATGAAGCCATGCATTAGAAAAGGAGCAACTGGGGATCTCATTGGAGGCCCTTGCGGATCTTGTCTAATAATTTTAATTATTTGTCTTAGACCCTTACCCTATATTTATCTTAGGTTAACAATATCATCACTTTACTTCTACTAATGTTATCTTATGTTTTCTGGTAATTCCTGATTTAACAACCATGGCCTTGAGTAGTGATCTCCACAGCCCTACTTTTGTTGTCGACGATGGTAGTGTTACTAGTGAAAGTGAGTCCTAATTTTAGAAGAACTTCAGAAGCCAATGGTTATGACATTATGTAGTCTTTCAAATCGAAGTATTTAAGTTTAGAGAATTGAAGATTGTTTGATGTGAGAGGAAATCCAACTCTAAAATTGTGAAGGGATTTTACGTCATATTCCTAGAGTATTTTGTTTATCGCAATTAACCATTAAATTGAAAGACTAAATAGGAAAACAATAGCCACAGGTATCTCCATTTCGAATTTTCTACAGACATTCTACACTATCTTATCTTTAAGAGGTTGTGGTCTCTAGCAGTTACATGTGTAACACTCCACAAAGCCCCCCACCCCCAAAAATAAATAAATAAATAAATAATAAAAAGAGAGAAACAAAAGGCCAAAAACAAGCACCTGAATCAACCAGACAACATTCCCACTATACAGGTCATTATTCACTATCCAACTTGCCATCTGGTCCCATTCACTTTGCTTTCTACCATATATCGATACCCTGTATTCAGCCATCTATAACAGCAACAACATTGGACATTAGACATGGATAACCCATAAAAACTAAACAATTAAATGAAAAACACAGCACCCCAGGGAACAAAGAGGGTAGCAACTGTGCTTAGGTTTAGAATTGGGTGTGAGACGAGATGTGCAAAATGTAAGCCTAAACAGACATTCATACAAGACCCAAAGGCAATAGAGATAATTAAAAATTTATGCAAATAATGCTATGCATATACAAAGACATGCTTTTAATTGGTTTAATGCAGTTCAACAAATATTGTGCGGTATGCCCAACAAATTAGGATATCAGATTGGCAAATAACAGAAAAGCTTTTGACATCCCTTCCATAGTTTTAGAAAAGCTATTATAGCTGAGTATCATACTACAATATGCCATCTCTGCCAAAAAGTAAACAAATTCAATTGCAAAATATCTCTCTTGTAAAAGGCTCGATCTCCACAAAACCTGGAACACAGTCAATAAATTAGTGCTATCAAATGCCTAACAATCCTTAATCTCCCAGGATATGATGCATGATTGTCTTTCAACCTTACGGTTAACCAGGAGAAATAGGAAACTAGTGTATGCCCTTCAAACGTTTTTCCAAAAGTAAATGATTTTACATTTCTGTATCGAACGTGAGATGACCCTTACCTTTGACTCTCATTTTGATTTTGATTCGCAGATCGAACTTAAATCATGCGAAATTCAAAAGGAACTAAGAAAGAGATGCATACTAAATAATAAATAAAGAACTCATCATGAAAGGCTTGGAAACAGATGATAACACGCTATGCAAACACAAACAGATTCAAAACTTCTTATTCTCGTGTCCTCCTCTGATATAATTTTGTTCTAAGAGAAAATCTGCAGTTTATAAGAAATGGAATTTCCAAGACTCCCTGTATCCATCCACCTCAAGAAAAAATAATAAAATAAAAAATCTGGAAAGGCAAAAAAATCAACAAGGTATAGAAAATGGGGAAACTTACAGCAATAAACAACTTGAGCAGAAAGCAAGTTTTCATACTATTCAAGTAAATGATACCAACCAAGGGTCTAGCCTAATGGTATCTCCTCCTCTCACATGGGAGATTGAGGGTTCAAGCCCGAATGGAATAATAGTGGGTGTGTCTTATCTACCCAAAATAAAAAAATAAAAAATCAATGAACAGATCAAGGATGAACCTGATATTTACTAGCAGCAAGATCTGAAAACACTTGCTTTGTCAACTCAGCAAGGAAACGACCTGTTAAACAATGAGCAAAAATTAAATCATAGTGAATTAATACATATCTTTAATCAAGTGCAGTGAAAATATATGAGGAAAAGAAAAGAAGCTCTGAGGTCAATCAAAATAACACCCATCAATAACATTGAAATTAGAAAAATCATATATCAATTGAAGAAAAGTGAAGTGAGAATCAGAATGAAGTAGTAAAGCTCAACTAAAAAGTGGATCTCCTACATTTAGAGGAATTTTGGAATAAAATTACCTTTACTGAGACATTCTTTTTTTTAAAAAAAAAAAATGGAGTTCAATACTACAAAGACAAAAAGTATGACAAATGGATAAAGTTTCAAGACAAAGCCATAGAATTGTAAGATCAAACGCAATGCCAAATAGTAGAATTGCTAATTTGCTATCATATTTCTTGGTGGTTTTTTCTCCATGATAATGTTTTGGCAGTAAAATTAACTATTTGGCCATCATATTTCTTGGTGGTTTTTTCTTCATGATAATGTTATGTCAGTAAAATTAACTATGTTTTTCCTTTACATAGTTCTTATATTGACTTCTTGGTAGATATGAACTGTAGGTAGGGTTTTGACCTTCAAAGTGTACAATTCGATCAGCACCCCTTTGGCAAAAAAATATGAAGTATGAAATAAATCTTTCCTCAACATTGCAACCTGAGCATCTCACCCTGTAAATCAGAAAATGAATAGGACATACCCTGGATAAGGTTATCTTGCTTTAAGAAAATCTCCCTCAGTCTACTTTGACCACAGGGATTATACTTCAGGTTGAATTTGTCAAAACGATGGAAGGTGCTCTTGTCAGCATGAACATCTAAAAGGTCCACATTGAGGTCATACCTATTTAAAGATGTATTTTCAATCAAATTAAAATATCAATAAAGGATAAGTATAAAGACAACAAAGTTAATGATAATACTGTGAATGACGATATTATATCCTGTTGGGTAAAAAGAAAATTTCATTACCCAGTCAAATCCAAGCTCTCAAAAACCTCTTTCAAGGTCAGATATGTTCCATCTCGAAATATCACAACCTGGTTACAAGCAGAAGAAATCCTAAGACTTCAGGGAAATTGCAACAAATTCATCTCTAAAAAAGATTCTGCTTATTAATTGATCAACGGTTTGTCTACATTTAACAGGCATCAAGATTGAATGATTAATACTGCCTGTGTGGCTAAGAACTAACTTAGAAAAGTAACCGATCCAAAATTCACTGCTCAACTCATAACAAGAACATCTACGTAATAGAAGTGCATTACGAAGGCATCGCCAAAAAATCCAAATTATTACCTCATCAGGCTCCTTCCTTAACTTTGACTTTATAAACCTCAAAAGATGCTTCTGGTTCATGCATGCTGAGTGATGAACATGTGTGTCAACTTTCCTGACATTATAAAAGTCACGATGTGGTGCACTTTTCTGAGCTAGGAATTCCCTATCCGCATTAAGCATCAAATGAAGATTGAATTTCTGAATGAATGTCCACATGAGCATTATATCAAACATCACATTATCATTTCTCAACATAAAATATGTGTGTGTGTGTGTGTGTGTGTGTATTACAATACTTCTCAATACACAATACTCATCTAAAGAAAATATACTTGTTCCAAAAGACCCAGCCTATGATGACATATTGTTCGCATATTCCCAAGCGCTATTACTTTAAGGATGAAATGGAGATCGGTGAAAAATGTCGTGGCATCAGCAACTGGAAAAAGCTTCTCTTTTGCTGGAAAAAGTTGGAATTTCACACATTAACATTCCACAGAGGAACAGAAGTTCCTGAATCATACTATAAAATAAGTGTACAGCAAGCAACATTATTGGCATCTTACAATCTTTATCTGCATAAACATGAACAACTCCATCTTCCATCTGAAAATAATGCTGCAGGAAAAATAAATGTGTCACTGGCCAGAAAACTATAAGCCTCGTTTAGTTTTATTAGCCCAAAATTAAAGGAAGCACTAGCAAGGAAAAGTCGGAAGTACGAACTCACGTTGCTTTTTCCCTCAGGAGCATAATCAAATGGATTTGGATTAGGCTTCGGTGTACTAGGATCAGAAATTACTTCTTTCTCCCATGGAGCAACAACTTCCTTGAATACATAACTATCTCGCAGTTCAAGACAATCCTGCAGAACTTTGTAGGCCTCCTCTTCATCACGTGTTGGTACCTCTTAGAAAAATTAAAGGAAAAACAAAAATTAAAATAATATTGGCTGTGAGCAAGAGAGAGAAGAGAGGGTGGAAAGAACAAACAATATTCTATATGTTGCCTGATAAGTTGGAAACATGTATAATAGCAGCACATTTATATTAATATATAGGACACTAAATTTGGTCATATAGGCCAATACTGCAACATAATTTCTATACAGTACTTTTTATAGTAGTTATGTAGGCTGATTATTCTTTTAATACTTGTGTGACGATCTAGGAAATTTAAATCATTAATGGCAGACAGACACCACTATCAATAATTCACGAAGAGTGCATATTCAGATTGCAGACAGCAGTCTTGGCTACCTCTTACAACAAAATATGACATAATATTATCATCTATACATAACTAATGATAGTCTCTTGTTGAACATGTTCAAATAAAATAGTGCCATTTAATATTCAGAAGTGATTTATGTATATACATTATCCAACAAAAACTAATCTTTTCCAAATCCTGTCGGGACTGCATATAATATGTATGGATACAAAAAACACAAACTCTGGTTGCATGGTACAATCCATGATACACCAAAGAAAAACACACCCACACAATGCAAGCACAATTTCACTACTTTGGCCAATCAATTTTCTTAGGAGTCATTGTCTGGTGCAATGCAGTGGTAAAATGCTCAGGCTCCCAAGCATGAGAACGGGGTTCAAATGCTGAAATCAGTAACTTTGTGCAAATAATGTCAAAGGAGGTCCATATCCAGACTATTCCACCCTGCGCCCTTTATTACCCGGGACTACATTGGGTAATGACCCCTTCTTTTTTTCCCAGAAATAATGTACCTAAAACTTTAAAAGGTGCTTTAGAATCAAAGAGGTCACTTAAAATCTAGTCTCTTACCACAAAAAACGTATCTACAGGCACTATTTGCTTTGTTTACAATTTTCAAATTCTTCAGGCCTCCCCTAAAAAATAAAATTATGGAAATTTCCTAAGGGCCACATGTTTAAAAATGTTTTATCTTGCATTTTAAAAGCTACTTAACTTTTTGGACCCATTTGTTTCCTATTCCAAAAAGAAATTAAACTGCGCAGATTAAGAGATCAGCTTCCTTCTTTTCCTTTAAGCCATATACACAAGTTTGTCGATTTTCAGTCAACCATACATGGAAGTCACCAATTCCACTCTAGCCCAATGAGTAGTTCATCAACATATTGAGACATTTGGTTAGGGACTAGTTCAATAGCACAATGCAGTTTGAACATATTCTCTTCAGTGCTATCCAGTGCTATCATCCGCGTACTCTACCGCAATGTTCATATATATTTAGAAGCAACCATCATAAGACTCTTAAATATACACAAGTTAGTGTACTAGAAGCATATGAATCATGCAAGTCAACATAGACCAAGGAGAGAATAGTGGGAGCTGATACCAGTTGGGCTAATTTTAAGTCGTACAAAAGTTTCTTGCTCTGGCTCTTTCCTAAGAATATCAGCTGCTACAGGATCAGGCTGCACTCCATGCAGGTCACCAGATACACTATGAGAACGAATCATACTTGATGCAACTATAGGCATTTGCTCTCCATTGGCGTTAACGTGGTCTGGTATTTTCTGAAACAAAATTTTACAGTCAGCACCCTGCTCATGTGAGGTTCAACTATAGTTCAGTAAACAAACTTGATGTTTAAAAAAAAAAAAAAATTCTTATAATAGCACAATGCCAATTCAGTAAAAATATAAAATATCCAATTGTAGTTTAATGCAACAAGACCATGTCCTTTGTTGTGTGGGGAGGGATAGACAGATACAAATAGTTCAATAGTAGTAATAATATCAAGTGCATCAACAACTTACAACATTTCCATTAGTATGAAGATATGTAGAATCAAGTTTAGCATTGTCAGTCGTATTATCTTCCTCATCTGATCCTTCCACACTTTCGAAGGCACTGGCGCTAGCAACAGGAGACTTGGGAGAAGTTGGTCTAAGTAGACTCCCAGATCTTTTGGTTGAACTTGCATGGCCGGCAGATTTCCCTGAAACAAAATAACATTATTACAAATGAGCAATGTTAATAACAAGCTAAATGTCGAACAACTTATTTTAGTGTATAACGGCACTTACCTAACCAATCACGGGAGCATGTTACGGATACGCAATCTTATTATAATATTTATCCTTCGTAACGTAGGCGCAGATATAAACCCAGCTAATTTTACATAACACAATTGACAGAAAAGAGGAAGTGGAAACCATAATATGCAATTTTCCTGATATATATGTGTGTGTGTGTGTAGTTGCTACACAAGTTTTTTTAATTGATAAATAGTATAACAGCTAAAAAATCCAACTGTCTTGCATTGCTCAGCCACTTTGGGTCTACATGGATTAATCAACTATCAAGACACTCCTTGGTAACCCACATCTCAGAATACATGAAATGATAACGATAGCCGTCTTTGATTTCACAATAGAAGAGAAAAAATTGGCAGTAACTAGTAAGACGTCTCAAATTGAAAGAAGAGTAACCCAACCATAATGTTATCAGACTATTTCATAGTAACTTTTGGATTCGGTGGTAAAACTCGAGCTGCCAAGCATGAGAAAATGTGTTATCATACAAGGATAGTCAATTTGTACAAATAAGGACAAAGGTTAGGCTTGTATCTAGTTACTCTCCCAGCACCATCAATTACTATGGACTGCACGGGGTAATGGACTTCTTTTATTTGTGCAGCCTTTTAGACTTCAACATTAAAAGCACAACTAAACAAATATAGCAAATAAGAAACATTTGCATATTCTCTACACTGATAATAGTGCAACTGCAATCCAGGAATTGCTTTAGTGTTTCCTTGCCAAGCATGCAAGCTGAAAAATGTTTCCAATCAACATTGGTGAAATGTGTTCTAATATGAGGATTGAGGATAGCCACTTTCTGCAAATTGCCGAAGGTTATGCCCTGAATTGAATTCCTCCTACCAACACCCTAAGTTAATGAAAACAACAGTGGGTAATGGCCTTTTTTATTTCTCCAGCCTTTTAGACTTCAACAGGAAAAGCACAACTAAAAAATATCACAAAAGAAACATTTGCTTAGACTCAACAATGATATTAGGGCAACTACAATCCAGGAATGGCTTCAATGTTGCCTTGCCAAGCATGCAAGCTCATGACCATTGAGAAGTTAAAATGTGCAACAATACTAGTCATTACACAACAATACTAGTCATTTTTTAACAAAATCTGTAGGCAGACATAGGCCAGATGATATATACACTTGCAATCCTGAACTTCCCCAAGAGCCAAGCCCCTATTTAGCAGTTAATGAATGAATGAACAGGTTTCCATTGCATAAAATCAAGCCATCTTGGCAGGCTGTCTCTCTCTTTCATACAAATAGAAGTGGGGCATGAGAACCTACCTTCTACTACAAATAAGCTCTTCAGTTAATCAAAATCATGCATTTTGTTTCAATTCCAAATATTTTGAAATTGGAAAATTTAGAAAACTCAGCCAGAACTTTCCTTCTCTTTTATTTCCAGTATCAGTAATGCACTAATTCATGCCTTTACTTCCATTTTATGACTTCTATTCTTGTTTTCCACAAGTTTATGGTACTTTCCTCCTTGCTTCCCAAGTTAACTTCTGTTCTCCAACCCTACAGAATAAATAACATGGTGTGCACAAAACAAATAATACACTTATCCAACAAAAAATTTTAGCTGGTAACTTAAATGTCATTTTCTTATTCTAGCATGTCTCCACTACAATGTCCCCCAAATCTCAATCAGAAATAATTCAAGGTCTCTCAACGGCAATACGGTAGATAGAATTGGAGTTATGGTAAAAATAAATGTTTGAACCACCCTGCATAGAAGTTTGTATTCAACTTAACCTAGCTAAACCTTATCCCAGCCCTACAGTTACTGGATATAATGTAACATAACCTTGGCACTTCTCAACTGCCTTGCACACAATTCAAGTTGTTTCAACTAATTCCATCCCCAGTACGAATGAAATGAAATTAAATATATATATGCAAATCAATCCCTCTGCTCATTCCAATTATAAATTAATAATTGTACGATAATTGGTTCTTGAATACAATTATCCATGCTATACTAATTGCAACTCCATGAAAAATTTCTGCGAATCAAGTATGGGACTCCAATTTATTTCTATAAAAGCTCGCATAATAATCATATACAAGTATGAAAATGTTTGATTGGCACTCGAGCAATTGTAATATCAATTCTCTAAAATAAACAATATCACTTCACTGCACCTCTCAGATAATCAAAAACAACAATTTAGGACATGTTTCTCACTCCGGTGGTGAAAAGTCCGACAAATGCATACCTTCAGGAAGTGTGTGCAGCCTTGGCAACCCGGCCGGAATCCCATCGACCTTAACCGGACCGTTCGGCCTCCCATCTCCGTCGACAGCAGCAGAAATCGCCGTGACGTCCGGCAAAGACGTCGACGCACGCCGGTAATAGCCATTCCCCTTTCGGCGGCCGTGGTTTCGCCTCTTCTCTGCATACTTCTTCAAATGCTGCGGCGAATCGCCTTCCTCCGCGTCCTCTCTATCCCTCTCTCTCTCCACAGTCCTCGCGAACTCCAGCAGCTGATTTAGGGTTTTGCGATGCATGTAGTAGGCGGAAACAGCCACGAACGATGCTCCGAAAAGAGCCGCCATCGCTAGATGAACAGCATATGCATCCATGACTTTCTCTCTCTACAATATAATCTGGTCTATATAATATGTATAGATTTTATGTGGAGTATATATATATATATATCTATATACCACTGTTAGACTACTGAAGAGTTGCAGAGAACTGAGAGAGCTCTTTTTATTCGGAAGAGGTGAGGCTAGCTGGAGTATTTATAGGGAGGTGAGTGAAAGAGTACATATTCTATTTTATGCATTTGGGGGCCTCTCGTCCCTCTCTCTCACTACTTTCTCTCTCCACCTTTTTTTTTTTTTTTTTTGTCTGTGTGTTGTGGGATGCATAAGGATTACCGACTTGAGTGCTGTCTTCGTATCATCCCTCTTTTAAAAATATTTAATTATTAATCATTATTTGTATTTTAGTTTGAAAATCGTATCCATATATCCATACAAGAAAAGAGTATCATTTCTTAGGTAGGCCCTTTTTGTTACCTTGCTACACCCACACAAGGGTTATTACTTATTAGAGAGAGACTCAATCAATATTCAACAAAAGAGTATCATTTCTTACGTCGGCCCTTTTTGTTAGCTTGGTACACCACAGCAGAAGGGTCACTAGAGACTCACTCAATAATATTCAATAAAAGCATCAGAGATTTAGAAATAATTGTCCTTTTTTTTTCACTTTTTTTTTTTTTTAAACAAAAGCATTAGAGATTTTGAAATAATTGTCATTCTTTTGTTTTGTAATATTTAATAAAGTCATACAACTAGAGTTACAGTAGTTTCTTTTAATTTTAAACATGTTTATGTTGCCAAATTAATGCTAAATAATTTCAAAAACTTTACAGGAATTTATGTTGTGTGAATGGAATAGAGTAGAAGTGAAAATGGAAATGGAAATGGAAATGGAAATGGGAATGGGAATGGGAATGGAATGTTATTCTTATTCTATTGTTTAGTTGCAAATATAAAATGTATATGAGTGAAAGATAATAACTGTTCTAATATTTGGTTTGACCAATTTAAAATTTAAAATAGAATAATTTTCAAATTGAATTCTCCAAAATACCCGTCCCAATGACAAATAAATTAAATTAACAAAATAACATTCTTCTATAAATTTTTTAAATGAAATGGCAACAATGGTGGATGGCAGTGATTACGGTAAATGGTGGCAGTGTTGGAAGGTGAAGTTTGTGGCGAAAAATGGTGACGGTGGTGGAAATAGTGGAAGGCATCAGTGGTGTAGGTGATGGTGGTGGAAGCTAGTGGTGGCAACAATGGTTTGGTGGTGGTGAAAGGCAGTGGTGTAAGTGGTGGTGGTGGAAGATGGTCATGATAGAAGGAGGTGACAGTGGTGGTTGTGGAAGACGGTAATGGTGGTGGTGGTGGTGGTGTTGGTGGAATGTGATAGTGATGGTGATGGCTGCAACATTGGTGGCAATAATGTTGACGATGGTGGAAAGGTGATAAAGGTGGCGGTAGTCGAAGGTGGTAGTGGTAGAAGACAGTGGTGGTATGATGGTTGAAGGCGATTGCAATGACAGTGGTGGAAGGCAATGGAGGAGGTGGCGTTGGTGATAGTGAAAGGTGGCGGTGGTTATAGTGGAAGGTGGTGGTGGCAGCGATAGCAATGACTGTTTTTAGACTTGAAACATGAAGGTTTTTTAAGATTTTCTTAAAAAATAAATAAATAAATAAATAAATTTTAAAATACTTGGAAATCGTATGGCCATTCTACATACGGTATTTAATTGTGGAATGGATTTTTATGTTTTAGAAATTGATTTATTTCCAATAGAATGACCAATTGACCATTCCCACTTTAAATTGCATACCACCCAACATTATAGTAAAAAAAATAAGCCAAATTACTGGTTTTATTTTTCAATAAAAGCATTGGAGATTTTGAAATAATTATTTTAATACTTATGCTATGTTTGGTTGGAAGGATGGATTGAGGAAGGATGGAAGAGAGGAAGGATGAACGAGCCTTCTCATGTTTGGATAGAAGGAAGGAAAAAGGGGGAAACAAGTAAGGATGAAGCATCCCTCATTCCTTGTGATTTCTTATCCATCCAAAATTGGTATAACTACCTAAACATATAAAATACTAATTTTAAATACGTTTATATTGCAAGTACCGTGTTGCAGGGTGGTTGGGTTGTTCACTGTATCTAATAGCCTGTGTTCAAGCCTGTAGACACCAAAAAAATCAAGCCTGTAGATACTGAAATTACCTAATGTCAAATATAATTTGGACAAATTAAATTATCCAACAAATCTACATAGATATTGAGTGGGGGGAGGGGGAGCATCCTGGAGAGAGTACAAAAACTCTGTTAAACTAAACATTCTCTCAACACTAAAGCTTTGAAGACGAATAACAACAAGCATATCTAAAATTGTGTTCTTTTTTCTCAAATTCAACAAATTTTATAAAGATAAAGAACAACGAGCACATCCAAAATCGTGCCGTTCTTTCTCGTGATTTAACAACTTTAAAGAATTACAAAATAACATTGTTCGAGATCAAGCTTCATCCGTCATCGATCAAAAATCCTTGATGAAACATCAAGTATTTAAAGAAGACTTTCTAAAGCTCAATTCAAGATCAAGTTCTAATATCACTTTAATTCAACCAACAAAGTAGATCGAATCACATGATAACATCTTTTTTTTGTGAAGAATATCTTAGAGGATTGTACTAATTAATTTTTATAAATCAATTAAATTATTTGTCTCAGCTCTGGTTCTTTAATTTGCGGATATAAAATTTGTGTGTACAAAACTTAAAAATTAAAAAAAAAAAAAAAATCAATTATATAAAAGAGTTACAGCGAGAAAGTAAATGATTAAAGAATTTTAGAGTCATTGTCAGGGTCCTCATTTACCCATAATAGAGCTATAAATTAAATGACCGACCTCTCACGTAATTTTCTAAGTTGGTTACTGACAGGGCCCCTTGAATCTAAAATAACAACCATGTTATCAAATTTAATACCTTCATTCCGAGTATAGTATTTTATATGCTTTTTGAGTATAGTTTGTTTTTTAACGTATGATATGGATACTAAAAATTTTCAATTGTGTAAATTACGTTCCTGAGTATGGGAGGGTGGAGCCCCTTGTCCATTAGTGTGGGCCAGGTTTCATATAAAGTGGGGATAGAGAGAGGGACAGCTAAGGTTCGTGTAATTTGGAATGTGGTGGGAAGTCATTTTCGTTATCCACTGGGCTGCCAGATATGCTCATAATATGCAACACGTGTTAGTAGCCTGTTTAGTGTTAACCAACGTGGACATGGATTATTTTTACCCCAAACAAAAAAAAAGAAAAAAAGAAAAAGAAAACATGGATTTGGATCATATTCAACTTTTCTTTTCTTTTTCATTTTGAACAGTGCTTTTTATTCCACAGCATAAACCAACAACACTGTTAATTAGACAACACACTTGATGTAACTTTACCTAGTATATATTATAGGGTGTATTATTAGATAAAGGCTTGATAAGAAAAGGTTTGATGCTAATCCTTATTCAAAGAAACAAAAATAATTTCACTTTTGACAAACAAAAACAAGTTTAGGTCAAGTGTGAAAATTTACAGTCTTGTTTTTTTATAAAAGTGTGGAGTATCTTTGAAGATGGTGTAACATATGACTTGACACGTGCATTTTCTTCGTCATCATGCATCCGGTAATTTTTTATTTTATTATTATTTTTTTTTTGAATTTTTTTTTTTTCATATATATATAAAGGAAAAAAAATACAAAGAAAGGCCTTTGACCCAAACTAACCCAAACATACTTATCAATTATTTGAAGAATCCAACATTTTGAAGTCCAGGTTACACCAAATTGAAAGAATTTATCAATTATTTGATAGAATAAAGAATAATTTGGTGCCTATGAAATACATCTCTTGTTGTCATTTCTATTATCGCATCAATTAATTGTTTGCCGGAGTGGTAGGCAATTTAATTTTTAAATAGTCACCGTGTGTAATTAATGTTGAATCTATCAAATTGATGCACAAAATGCTCAACGGTAGATGTCATACTTTAAACTAACCTATATAATCTTGTCATTTAATTCTAATTATTCAAACATTGAGAATTCCATATTTTTAGTTTTAAGAATCTGCAAGTGAATCGAAAATAATTAATCAAATAATTTACTTATTTTTTTGTTGATGATTTTGACTCAATTGATTAGATAAAACGCTTTCTTGCGAAGTTCATTACAATTGGTAAATCAAACGAGAAGGGAGTTCATCACAATTGATAAGACCAACAAGAAAGGAATATCTTGTCAGACTCAAGTTAGCAAAAATAATTTTTTCTTTAATTAAACAAGCCAATTGAAGTTCCTTTTATCATTAATTGAGAAAACAAAATTTAGTACAAAAGAATTGACCATGACAGATAAAACAAAAAAGAAAGACAAATAAATTGACTATTAAGAAAACCAAATTGAGTACAAAGTTCATCATAACAATTGATTATGTTGCTATCTGTAACTTTGTTTTCTACCAAATAATAAGATTATTCTTCAACAATAAGAACGGAATTAAACAGGGAGAATTATTTGAGAAGCAGATTAGAAAATGCGTTTTGATTGAGTGCCTCAAAATTGGAAACTATATAATATATATATATATATACAGATATAGAGTGAGTCGGTTATGTCACACATCAATTGATCATGACATCAGATTTCCTATACGAAAGCAAGAATATCCACAAATGTCTAAATTTCAAGGCAAACACCAACATAAAAGCAATTTGTGCAATCTTTTTGGAAGGAGAATGGGTAATTATATTCCGGGAAAAAGAAAAAAAGAAAAGAAAAAAGTAATCAGATCAGATACACACATCTTTATATCCCATTTTTACTGTGCATGCAAGCCTCTTTTTAAATGGAGGGAAAGGGATAATATAGATTATGGCTTCTGGATAAAAGTTTGTGTTTTTTGGGTAAATAAATCATTAAAAGTTTGTTTTTTTCCAGTTGCTTTAACAGTGGGAGATTTTATTATTCTTTGGTGGTGAATTAAGTGGGCTCAGGAAAAAAAGCTTCTTTCCTTTTTTTCTCATTGTTGACATACTAGTGAACAGTTAGCCCCAATCTAATGATATTGTGGGTTTAAGGTAATATCATCTCATTGATGCTTATGGATTCTTTATTTTTTTATTTTGGTTGTTTCTATGCGTGCTATTCAATTCTTAATTTTTCACAACCCTTTTTTTTTTTTTTTTTCATTTCCATTTTTTTTAAAAAAACGAAAAGGTACAATGCTATTTT